TATGAATCTAAGATTCTATTTTTAGCTTCAATAGAGTTTGTAATACACACAGGTTGAAGTGGTTCTAGTCAAGTGAATCAAACTACTTTAAGTGGCGTTAGTACTTACCACGTGGAACTCGGGTTGTGATATGGAGGGCAGCTTAGGATTCCATGTTGCAATAGACTGATTCTACGTCCTTATTTTATAAATTGTCACAATCTGAAAATGTGATAAATTCATTACTTCCTCAAATGACTTGTTGAATATTTATGTTGGTTGAGTGTGGAAAGGGTAAAGTGGAAAGTTTTGCCCATCTGAAATTTTTGGCCTCTGTCATCGTAAATCGGACCAATTTTGTCTATATTTCATTTCCAAGATTAACTAATTAAATCAGAATTGTTAATGAAATTGTGCATTAACAATTTCAAAGGCATTCTATTCAAAGTGAAAGCTTTCATTACTTTCAAGAGACGAGCTGGAAGCCTTCTTTATATTCAGGATTGTCTCGTCGAGTGTGAGTAATGTAATTGGGAAATTAAGTAGGGTCTATACTAACAAAGGTGGCTCATCTATGGTGATTGTGGTCCCTGTAAAGGCTTATCGTATATAGTACACAAAACAGTGGAGTACAATGGTCGCTGTAGAATAGCGAAACATATTAATGCGTATCAAGGAGTAATAGTTGTTATGGGAGTGAAAGAGTCGCAAACATCTCGTTAAAATTTCTATATTTATTTCAGCGGAGTTGAATTGAATTCGAGTGATTCAACTTTGCTGGCTTATGTTGATCAGCGTCTTGACAATTACCTTACTATGGCTAGGCTGTACTGTTCCCAATTCCTAAGTAGTTGCTTGCTTAGTTGTAATTAGAACTAATCAAAGGTGGGACACATTCTATTCGGTGGGAGCTCTGTTTTGAAAGTAATAATTGTTCAAGAAATTAAATCCATGAACCTGAGTTCCTAATTTTTCGGACATTTGTAGCCTAAAAATTCAGAATTCGGCTCAAAATCGTTGAAAGGAAGAGAAAGCTTACTCTTGGCTCAATGTGAAATGAGAAATACTAACTGTCTAGCTCATCTCTCAACTCATTTAGGCCCAAGTTAACTTATTCCGTTCACTATTGTTATATTTTTCACTCATGAGTGAGTGAATTCTAATAATATGCTTCAATTCAATAAATCAAACTAGATTTGCCACCATTCATTAAACGATATATATCATACGCTCAGTGTGTAATAGAACACTAACAATGTCCTATTATTGCGAAATCTATTTCGCATTTTGTAACAAAATTTGATTTACTAATTCTCGGTTAAAACTGACTTAATAAGAGAACTTCAAGCCCCTTCTCTGTAAATTATTCATATAATTTTTTGTTCTTTCAAGTATGCAATATTACCTGCCTAACCCAGAAAACAATATTTGCTTTTGTTAAAATGTCCCCGCCTCTTTGGTTAATTCCAGAAACTTAGGAAAAGTTCTGAAAAATTTTAAGAAATAAAGCAGAAAATGAGATTAAAAGAAGATGATTTCTAATTCTAATGTAGCATTGCATGCCCGATTATCAACTTTGAAGTGAGGTAAAAGTCATTATTTATTTATTTCAAATGGCAGGCGTTATGATAGGTATCATTAACCCTTTAGTTGACTTTAGGCTTCACAGAAAGGAAGATAAACAGTAAAGTGGCAAAACGTCGAGAGGGGGACAGAATAATGATTCACAGACGTAAAAGAGACAGACAGACACAAAGGTAGAAAAAGGTGAGGTGAGTACTGTGGAATTATTCGAATATGAAATGCAGTGGGGTCTTGGTAGTTTGAAGTCAGAAGTCAACTGCCGAATAATAGACTTTTTGCCGTATGAGTATACGTTGCCCAGGGTGCACCACGTAGAGGTAAGTCTATCGCACACCCCGTAAAAGTCATTATATTCGGCTAAGAAATCCATATAATTTTCACAATCACAGAAACATAATTTGTCCAAAGATAAAAGTCGGCTTTGATATTGAAGTGAATAATTACTAATAATTACACTATAATGTATATATATAAATTGACGCATTTATTGCTTTTTTCCTTTATGTGAATGAATGAATTAATGTCTTGAGCATATTGATTTATTTAAGTTATTAAATGGGAATGCCTATTTAGTTATTTTCACGAAGCTTTTCGTTAGTTATAAAAGATATAAACATGAATATGGTTATTCAATATTTCAACACACCCGTGTCGTGCTAGTCATTATGTGATCAGAAATTTTCAAATCGATGCATTTTGTTTCAGGATGTCACAAAACGGAGCTCTTTATTTATTTAATAATTAAATCAAATAGACAATCAATTTTACCATTCTAGTTTAAATGTTCCGCCTAAATTTATTAAGCTATATTTAAACAAATACACATCGAATAAGTGCTTATTTGTGGAAATTAAGATGCCAAAATTAACGGATTCTAAATAAGCGAAAATGGCGCAAAGTTTCAGTGTCAATTTGCATTTTGCCTCTCATTTCCTTAATGAAACGTTTTATCACATAAAAAAATGCAATTTACCTCTGCTCCAAAGAAAAACTAAAATAACACGAAAAATTGTTCGCAAATTTGTAAAAGAAAAAGATGATATATAAGGATGAAATCACGGAGGAGAGTGTTGCGAGACAGTACTTTCAGTTTAAGATCTAATTATGGAGCCCCAGATCAATAAGTTTAAACTCCGTTTCAATGTGCCAGTCTCAATCTTGGATAAGTTTAGAGAAGTAAACGGATCTTTCAATTAAATGGCAAAATATAATTTTTAAGTTCCCTAAATAGAGGAAGAACCTTAGGTAACTGAAGTCTCCTTGAGATTAGTTGGAGTTAGTACAAAACCCCCTAATTTTATTTATTTATATCAAATGGCAGCGTTTCGATAGTTACCATTAGCTCTTTAGTTGACTTCAGCATTCACAGAGAGGAAGGAAGATCAAAATGAAAAAAGTCAAGAGGGAGGCGGGGAACAGAAGGGTGTTTCAAAGATGTAAAGAAACAGACACAAAGGCTCAGAAAGGGTAAGATGAGTAGTGGTAGGGGTCGAATATGACATACAGTGGGGTGATGGTAGTCTGAAGTGAGAAGTCAACTGCCGGTTAATAGACTTTTTTGCCGTATGAGTATACGTTGCCCAGGGTGCACCACGTGGAGGTAGGTCTATCGCACACCCCATTCCTCGCCATTAGATGGTCAATTAACCGTGTGTCCTTTAAGTCTATGTTGCATTCCACTCTTCCCGACTGCATTTTCGCTTGCACTTTGGCGTTGTTGATTGCGTGTGATTAAATCAGGATAAATTGCACAAAAAAACAATACTTGCTATACTCCATAGTATGGATACAATCTCTGTGGTGAAAATTCTTCGAGTGTCTCGAGTGCTCCGACCGCTTCGAGCTATCAATCGAGCAAAGGGTCTCAAGGTGAGCTAACTTTTCAATTTTGTTTTAATTCAAACACTTGGTTGAATAACGCGTTTCCGTGAATAGATCATAAACTCCTTGGGTGATTAAGGAAGGGTAAATGAAAAGCGATGTAGTACTTCAGGATTTTAGATTGATTAGGCTTAGAATTCACCTTCCTGATGGCTAGAAATTGGACTTTGAAGGAATATGAATACATAAACACCAGGAGGGAAACAAGCGAAATAAGGTACATTTAAAGAGATAATCTGATTTGTTTTGTATGTGTCATTGGAATCGTTAGAAAGAGCACTTTTAGGAGACAATGTAAAAAATGACTTTTTGAGGCCTCTATTTAACAGATCCAACCATCGGCTCATTGGTTGTGCGCCGATGTTAATTGAAGCTAACGTTTAGAATTTCGCAAACAGGCACTTCGAAACCCGAGCCACCCACGCGATTAACACATTTTAATATCTTTCAGCAAAATATTTTAAAATATATATCTTGTTTATATATTTGTAGTATATATCTGTAGTATGTGGTACAATTGATCTTACAGGGATGAGTGATTTCCCTTTGGGACATAATTAGCCAATATTTTTAGTCTAAGGAAATGCTTCCTCCACTTGTATTGGTTTGAGACAGGACTTTCTTTACTCAGGAGCTAACATTATATCTTGTTAATTAATGAGTCAACTTGCACCTCAATGAAGGTCTTTCTTCCAACTCAAGCTTACGTAATTATTACTTCAATTGTATAAAATCGTGTTTCTGAAATTGAGTAATTGGAGGCTGCCTCGTATCAAAATGTTCAGATAACAAGTTTTAAGAAGCACAGCTAAAGTTGGTTTCGTTTCTAATAAGAGGTTGTTCGTTAAATTTTCTGATATTTTTAAAAATCTTACAAAATTCACCGATTCAAGTTGCAAATCTTACTAGAAGGACACGTAATCAACTAAGCAGATCAAATATTCGAATTTGAAATGGATTACACATACTGGCCCATTATTTCGAATGATGCCTAACATGCTCTCAGGCATAGAAGGAGAAAATTGAAAAAAATAGGCACTGTTTATTAAACTTTAGTCTACAGTGCATGCCAACTTGGCTTAATTACATTTTTTATTTAACGAAGCCTGAATTCTACTAAACAAATAAAGACAATCCTTTGGCAAGAACAGAGAGTTTGACTTGTGAAGGCGTCTGAATGTCAAATTAATGGAGCGTATTTGTTCTCAACTGTGTTTTCACGTTTTTCTCCTGAGCAAATATTGACTTGCTTGTTGAACTCGATATATGACGTCATTGAACGCAGTTTTGACATTGGCGTTTAAATTTTTAACATAGACTCGCATTGCAGACGTCCTTGAGGTGATAAAAATTCATGTTAACCACATTGGCAGACGTTTCGTTTATTTCCATTTTTTTTGCAACTGTTGCGACAATTACAATTTTCCTCGTGGAAATACGACTGAATGGGAATGATGATGTGAATGTGATGGTACCACTTGAAAAATATGAAGATTTCAATATGAGTCTCAATATTAAATCTCAGTTTATAATTATTAATTTCCAATGGTTTAAACGCTCCTTTAGATCATGTTATAGGGAATTACGCACACTGTCCTGTGAACGTTGACGAATTGAATAATTCCATTAAATGATTGCCTCCATAACGTTAACCAACTAAAACGCCTTCTCCCTTGTAAAAGTGTCTAGTTTTCAATTGAAGTGAAACCTGGTGTATATAAGGAAATGCCCCTACATTTCTCAACTAAATAGGTTATAGCATAAATATAACTGGAGGAATAATATATAAAATTAGATGATTTCATGATTTCGTTCACTCATATTAAGAAGTCTAAAGAGATTATTTTGCTAGCACAAATCCTACAAACCATGCAGCCTTGTAATGGGATTGTTTCAAGTGGAGCTTAAGTCTGATTTCTCAAATTTCTCACTTATCTCGATGAAATAATCAAACCAGTCCTCAGAAAGTGTTAAACCTTTGAAGCACATGTAAAATTCAGGTGAACTTTCTTCGAATAATGACCAGAGAATTATTGCTTCTTCATCGAATTTCAGATCGTTTAGTTTCTTTTGACAAATGTAGTTTTTAAGACCATTATGCTCCGTGATTCCAAATATTCAGAGTAGAAATCTGACTGCCTTTCCCCAAGGTTACCAATCAGATCTTTTAAAGCCACTCTTGTATGTAAGAAAGCATTTGTTAAAAGTGAGGCCCGATTTTGAATCTCGGCGGAATTCATTGAATTTTAAAACAAACTTTTCAGGTCTTCGTTTAGGGGTAGGAACTTCCAATTTCTCTATGCTCATATTCATATGTTCAATTGCTTAGATACGTTTTCCTGCTGTTTTAGTGACGTTTGTTCCTCATGTTCTACCCACTTCATGTGGTTGTCTTGCTTCTTTTCAACATTCTTTTGAATTAATCCACGTTCAATGCGGTGTTCTGCACAATTTTTCAGAACCGTTTCGGTTACCTCTGCGCCACCTAGTTCCTTGCCTTCATGTGGCCATGCAAAGTTATCCATTACAAGTGGAAGTTAGCGTGGGATATAATGTTTATCGCATTAAGGGAGATTCTCTTAGTCTTTATAATCATACATAGTCGGATCTCTGTACTTTATTTTCAGCACGTCGTCCAGTGCGTGGTCGTAGCAGTTAAGAGTATCGGCAACATCATGTTGGTGACATTTCTCCTCGAATTTATGTTCGCTGTCATTGGAGTGCAGCTCTTTGCCGGAAAATTTCAATATTGCACTGATGAAGCCCGCTTCTTCAAAGAAGAATGCCAGTAAGCAATTTATTTATTTATATCAAATGTTAGGCGTATTGATGGTTATCATTAGCCCTTCGATTGACTTTAGGCTCCACAGAGGGGAAGGAACATTAAAGTGGAAAAGTCGAGTTGGTTGGGAGAACAGAAGAGTGTTTTAAAAATGTAAGAGCCACAGACACAAAGGTAGAAAAAGGCGATGTGGGTACTGTGGAAGCAGTCGAATATGGCATACAGTGGGGTGATGGTAGTTTGAAGTGAAAAGTCAACTGCCGGTTAATAGACGTTTTTGTCGTATGAGTGTACGTTGCCCAGGGTGTACCACGTGGAGGTAAGTCTATCGCACACCCCACATTACTGCATTGTCTCCCTTCCCNTCCCCCCCCCCCCCCCCCACTCTCCCATCAATTGTATTCAATAAAAATTAAATAGATAAATTATTGTTGACTAATAAATAACTTATGAATATTTGCTAAAATATGCCAAAATGATTGATTGTTGCTAACCAGAGTTATGCAAATTATATATATATATTTCAAATGGTAGGCTTTATGATATTTATCATTAGCACTTAAACTTTGACTTCAGCTTCCCCCAAGGGTGGGGGGTACATTTATAGCAGTTAATTAATAGCAGTTCATTAGCTGTCTTCCTGCTTCTCAGTATCTCTGGCTTTCCGTCCTTGTCTTTAGGGCTGGACACCGAATCAGGTGGTACTTCTCCATTTCCTCCTGTAGGTTACATAGGGGGCATGTGGGTTGAGTGTATACTCCCAATCTGTGAAGGTGTTTTGCCAGGCAATCGTGTCCGCTACGTAGTCTAAACTCAGCAACGGCTCCTATTCTTGGCCAGTCGGCTATGTCGGAGAGTGACACTGTCCATTTTTTCTCCTTTGTTCGAGCTTAAAGTTCGCTGCACCTTGAGGTCTGGAATTTTTTTCCTGATTAAGGCCTTCATTGTGTGGAAAGACATCGGGCGGTCCATGCATTGCAAAATCGTTGTCCTCTTCTTAGCAAGTGTGTCAGCAAGCGCATTACCTCTAATGCCCCAGTGACCAGGAATCCATTGTAGGACCACTGTTTTGTTTTTCTCTCTCAGAAGCTGATAGAGTTTTCTACATTCCTTCATCTCAGCTATTCTGGGTGGCTCTCTGTTTCCAATTGAGTTTACCGCTAACTGTGAGTCCGAGAGTATCACCGCTTTGGTGAATTTCGTATCTGGGCAACATAATTGGCATAGTGCTGTCCTAATGGCTTCTATTTCACCTTCAAAAGCGGATCTATTGAGTCCCGCTGCTGCGTAGAAAGAGAAGAGTTCAGAATAGACATCTGCACAAACGTTTGCTTGGTTTTTTATGTATGACCCATCATTGAAGACTTGGAGCCATTGATCTGCAGGATAGTTGACATTGATTGTCTCAAGGGTCAGTGAGAGCATTTGTTCTGGAGGGGTGTTTGATTTCCTGAAGAAGTCAAGCAGTTTGGTGCAACACACTACATCAGTGTTTGCTAATAGGTTCATGGGGAGAGAGAGGCTTTTTGGTTTGCCATCGATTTGCAATTCCTTCTTCAGTCCTATGGCTTTCTGTATTAGACCAGATTGAGTTTTCAGATGTCTTGGTCTATTCTAATAGGTGCTGAAGAACTTGTCCATGGGAATGCGCAGTAGCTTCNAGCCTCCTGTTAACCATTCTTTCCATAAGTTTAGCCAGCACGCTTGTGAGGGAGATAGGCCTATAGTTGTCAAAGTTGCTAGGGTCTTTGCCCTTTTTTAGTACTGGTATTACTATGGCAACTTTCCATTGGTTAGGTACGAGACTGGTCTCCCAGATTTTGTTGTAAAGCGTCAGCATGGTTTCCTTGGCTTTTGGTCCCATTCTAATTAGAAATTCTGGATGAATACCGTCTTCGCCAGGAGACTTCTTGCATTTTAGCTGTTTTATCGCAGCATTAAGTTAGCAAGGTCGGAATGGTTCAGTAAGTACATTATTTGGTGTTGCCATGTCTTCCTTAATTTCACCAAACTGTCTTACTTGTATCTTTAAATCTCTTGAAGATTTTCTGACAAAAGGGTTTTCGTTTGCTTGTGGGAATAGAACCTCGCAAAGTAGTTGTCTATTTCGGTGTCGGTGGTAAGCAATTTGCTATTTAAGCGTATTGGTTCTTTCTTGGGTCTTTCTCTGTTGTTTTGAAGGTTTCTCAGAAATTTAAAAGTGCGTTGGCTATCCCTTTGATAGTTGATATTAGAGATGAACTTGTCGAGGGAAGTCCGTTTTGCTTGTAAGATGGCTTGCCTTAGGACAGCTGATTGTCGTCTCCAGGCTTGTACGTCTTCCGTTCTTCCAGTCTGATCAGCAGTGTTGCGAAGGGCGTCCCGCTTTCTTTTCAGTCCCTCAAGGTTTTTAGACCAAAATACTCGATAGTGTTTAGTCTTGCCTCGTATCTAACGACCGCAAATTTGAAAGAAAAAGTCCACGCATTTCTGTAATCAGGTTTCCTCTAGAAATAATGCATTGTCCATCAAGGCCAGGTTCACGAAATGTCTTGGACTTGGTTGTTTGTGGTATTTAGTGGATTATCAATGCAGTGAATCCGAATAAATTCCTTTTACTAAATCCGATCCTTGCCTTATTAGTAACAGTGCCATAAAGTGGCTACACCTAGCCTAAATGGATTCTTGGATTCATTTCTCCATGTTTCCCTGTTGGTCTCGCACTGATCTCAATCCTGCTGGTCCTACGAACATTAAATGGCAGGCGTTTTGATAGTTATCATACACCCTTTAGTTGACTTCTAGCTTCAGAGAGGGGAAAGAACATCTAAGTGACACAAAGTCGAGAGGGGGGAGGGACAGAAGAGTGTTTCAAAGATGTAAAAGAGACAGACACAAAGGTGGAAAAAATGAGGTGAGTACTGTGGAAGTAGTCGAATATGGTATACAGTGGGGCCATTGTAGTTTGAGGTCAGAGGTCAAATGCTGGTTAATAGACTTTTTTGCCGTATGAGTATACGTTGCCCAGGGTGGACCACGTAGAGGCAAGTCTATCGCATACCCCTGATCTCAATCGTGCTTGACCTATGAATAAATCTATTTTATTATCCTGATGGATTCACAGTCAGCGATCTGTAGGTAAACCTATTTAATCTGCCATTACTAGCCTCCGTTAGTTATTCATTACCCATGGCATGTCCAAAAACCGATGTGTTCAAAAACACCACCCAATTCTTTCCAACTTGATTCGTCGTGGTCTACTTGTCTTTCTTTTAGACTCATCACCTAATGTGAAAATTGTTGATAATACGTAAAGGTAAACTCTTAGATCACAATATAAGCAGAGAGGTGAAGAGCTTATGATTCGATTACACTTTAAGTACCAGAAAACGCCTTTTGGTGGCATTTAAATCTTGGTATGTTAATACAAAAATCTACCTTCTCAGCTTTAACTTCCGAGTGGAAACACGTCGACCACCACTCCCCTCCAAGGAATCACGAAATTCTGTAGACTTAATGCATTTATTGGCTATAGTGTCAATTAAGACCTTTTAGAAGACTTCGGAAATGATTCAAAATTCATCCAACGCTCAGATCCATAGAAGAACAGCCTTCACCGGGGACTTCGGATAAAATTAATAATTTATATTCAGCAAAAGCTGAATTGTAATGTATTGTTAACTATTTATGCAATTCCCATATTCATTAATAGGTCCTTAACTAACAGGTCATCGCTTTGATAAATTTTGAGTAAATTTGTTTATTTATATCAAATGGCAGGCGTTTTGATGGTTATCA